TGGAAGCAATAGCTCGTGAAAGAGTTCGTCCGGGGAAGTATTGCCACCATACCTTTTTCTGCCGCCAAGCAGTAAAGTTAGCATTACTGCGTTCCAGTTTTGAAGGGTGAAATTACAGGTACATGGGCCTTATGAACTTATGTCTTAGGGTGACGGGCGCACGGGGTGAGCCGGAGCATGGCCTTATACGCGGCTCCCATTTGAAGTGGGGCCTTATCAGTGGCGACGAAATCGCTGCTGAGGAGGCCTCAGAGGGTGGTCGCCCTGCGAATGTACAGGGCGAACATGACGGTGGCTTGCAGTGCCGCATGCGTCCTCGCCGGTACTTCGCCGCGTGACCTTGAAGCCGAGGTCCTGGCGGAGGAGTCCACGCATACCGGCGGGGAATGAGGGACCGAGGCGAGCGCCCCGCTCCCCAAGAGGTCGAGCGGGAGCGCCACCTAGCGGCGCAGCGCATGCGGAACCGGTGGAAAGAGGGCTTGGCGGATCTCGTACCTATGGAGCTCGTACCATAGAGGCGATCCGTCCTTTCCTCGTAGAGTGGGTGAGCCGGTCCCACGGGCCACTGTCGTACCACCTTGTGCAGGTGCTGACCGGGCACGGCTGTTTCGGTCACTACCTGCACAAGGTGGCGAGGAGGGAACCGTCCCTGTCGTGTCACGAGTGCGGCGCTGCGGATGACACCGCGCAGCACACCCTAGAGGTGTGCAGCCGGTGGGATGAGTAGCGCCGTACCTCTCGCTGCCGGGCGTGGTTGCCGCCGCCATGCTCGGTAGCGAGGAGTCCTGGGAGGCGGTGGCCTGCTTTTGCGGAGATGTTATGTCGCAAAAGGGGGCTACGGAGCGGGTGCGCGAGGCCGCGGCAGACGCGCACCCGCTTCGGCGCAGACGTACGGGGCGAAGGCAGTTCGCTGCTCGCCTGATCCCCTAGTGAGGCCAGCGGACTCTGGGCAGGGACTCCGGAGCCTGCATTGCACGGCCTCACTCGTCTGGGGGGCGGGTCGGAGGACAACTGACCTGTCCCTCCGTTGGCGCGGGAGCCCTGGCGCAAACCAGGGCGGCTGGGCGGCGTCGTGGTGAATGTGCACCGACTCCACGGCGCCGACTCAACCGACGGGAGGTAAGCCCGGGGGGATTTTAGTGGGGTAGGCCCTCCAATCTGGCGGGAGAGTCCCCACATAACCCCTGAGTCTCCCTGGGCTCAGGGGTAAATATCAAGATTTCCCCTAGTAAAAAAAAGCGTGAAGGGCGCAAAGGCAGCGCCTCTTGAATCTTTGTGATTTATAGCTCAGAGTGACACTACAACTAGTTATGGATAGTTTACCATCAGGTGCACGACATGTTCGTCCCATCACTTGATATTATAAGAAAAAACACACACACGCACGCAATCTTCACAACACAATATACATATTTTACACACATAACACACATTTATGTATCAATCATACTATAACTTTTCTAAAAATAATTAGAGTATTTTCTTTATCATCATGCCAATTTACCCTTAACGTCTTAGTAGGTATTGTCAACAACATCATAATATTGTATCATTGGGATGCGTTGGTGGATACTTGGTGACCTATAGTGCAGGTCCAACCAAGTTTAGACACCAGTCTTCCACGTCACAATTTAACTGTACGAAGTTCCTTGGAAAAGAACAATAAACTATTTGTATTGTATTTTATTGTATTGTAATAAAAAGGTAGGTTGACTTTGACTTATATAATGATCTATCATTATATAATTAAAACAAGAATAACGCAATATTTTATTTTTCTTTCGCTGTTCCTGACTAAATATATTAAATTTTGTAGGATAACGTTTTGTAGCTAAGCTAATTAACCCTTCCACTATAGTGCTTTTAGAATCAACCGTGGCAAAATTTGGCGGACATTTTTGTCACAAAGAGCTTTTATGTTGGATTTAATTAGATTTGCATTGATATAGCTTCAGCAGTTAAACATCAATTGATTTGCTGTCCTTACCAACTGCTTTCAAATAACTACACTTTGCCAAACTACATCATCCATTATGTTGGCTCGTAATACTTTCCTGTATCTAATAGAATGTGCCGATATAAAACTAATAACAGCTACGTCACTTCAAATATCGATATGAAAACTAATAATAATAGCTAGCTACAATATGAGTTATTAAACGTAAACAATCTCATTATTAAATAATGAGAAGTATCAAAGTAGGATAGCCACTGAAAATTACTATAAGAGTGAGAACAAATTATTGGTGTATAACAAATATAACACAAAAAGAGTTAGAGAAAGGAAATTAAATAAATGTAAAGTTAACCATGGTTGTGGAAAGAGAACTGATAAATATATACATATAATAAGAGTTCACTCAGGGAAGTACTGCTACATTACCTCACCAATTTCTGGCGCCATTGAAATTACAGGCACATGGTTTTGTCAACTTTTGTCTCAGGGTGACGGATGCAGGGGCAGTGTCCCTAAGGTCTTTGCGATTCAAAGCTCTGAGCGGGACGGACTGCAATTGTTATGGATAGGCGTGTCTCTTACTACCTGGCGCACGACTTGTACGTCTGGACACTTGGTCTTATAATAACCTAATCTTCGGTTAAAAAAACCGACCTCAAAAGTCATTCATCCCCTAGTTTACCACCTTTAGAGGTAGAATATTTTCTTTAATATATAATCTTAAATTTAAATGGGACCACTTCTGAGGTACCCTCTTTCCAACAAAAAAAGAATCATCAATCGAATCAAATCAAAGAATCAAATCTGTTCACAAATGGCGGAGTTATAGCGTAACATACATAGAAACAAAAAACATACAGACGAATTGAGAACCTTCACCTTTTTTTGGAGTCGGTTAAAAATAAAAATATAAAAGAAATTGGCCATTCTGGTGCTGTGTTGCATACAGCATTTAAGTCGTTTGTTAACTATAGGTACTTTCAATTGCCGTCAACTTTCGACATTGTTATTGCACGCATAATGACGCAAGAGAAATAAGGAGTTAAGGGTAGGTACATGTTCTCTTGATAAACTGACTTTTCTAAGGAACTTTTTAAACTGTTCACAAACAAGTTTTAGTTTTTAGTTTAGTAGCAGTAGAGATCTTTATGCAAGAGTGCGTCCAGAGAAGTACCTTACCTATTTCTGCCGTCAAGCAGTAGTGTCAGCATTACTGTGTTCCGGTTTTGATGGGTTGTAGGGTGTTGGTGAAATTACATGCACATGGGACTTGTCAATTTATGCCTGAGGGTGGCGGGCGCATGGGCCGTGTCCCTAAGATCTTTGCGATTTAAAGCTCTGAGTGGCTTTGCAATTGTTATGAATAACCATGTCTCTTACCACCAGGCGCACGACTTGTATATCCGGACACGTGATATTATAGAAATAAAAAGATAAAAGAAATATTAAAAATATATAATAAATAGATTGGCTCAGGGAAAGTGAGAATGTTTAAAAAAAGTTATGAATAAGAAATTAAAAAACATTGTTAAATAATGAAATGTTATACAATATACGCACATACATGAATACTGATATAATATATTATTAGTAATTTAAAAAATGTATTATTAGCAAAGACAGTTTTAGTTTAGAAAATTTGCTAGCATTTAATGTGACTTAATTTGTGAATTATGAACTATATATATATATCATTGATGATTATATTTTTTTTTATAAAAAAAGATCTCAAGTTTTGTTGGTCTGCGTTTTTATTGGAATTGCATACAAGTTGTAGGCTTAGCTGTAAATTGCGAAGTTTTATTGAGAGGGAGTAGAGGAAAAATTCCTAATCTTCGATTTGAGTTTAGAGGGGTATATCCACTTTAAAGTTAAAAATAAAATATTGTATGAGTAACTACATGATATATTCAAGCATAGACAGTAATCAGAAACATAAAACAATAAAGTTTCCTGAATAGATAAAAATCACGAAATGGCCTCTAATTTTCACATTTTTACGATTTATCCTCGAAATGCTACAGTGTATTAGGACAAAAATTAGATAATTAATTATATTTATGCATGTTCAAGAACTGTCACTACGGATTTTTTTAATCCCTTTAGTTTTGGAGTTATTCCGCTAAAACGAATTTGGTACTTTTAATGCGTAAAATTCAACATCTCCTGTGGCATGTCACGCGAACTTCAGGCATATATTTGTTTCACAAATTTGGGCGGAGCCAACGTCGAAACTTTTTTGGCATGCTCCTTCTTAACGAAAAAATGCGTGAAACCGGATTCATCCCCTAGTTTGCCACCATTAGAGGTAGTAGGTATTAGGAATATTTTCTTCAAACATAATAAATGGGACCAATACTAAGGTACCCTCTCGCCAACAAAAAATAATCATCAAAATCGGTTCACAAATGCCGGAGGAATCGCGTAACACACAAAAAAACAGTCGACTTAAAAAACGAAGAAAAAAACGTTTTTTCAAGTCGGTTAAAAAGGATTATTCCCATCTGATCCCCTTCAACTGATCCACCGCCAATTTTGGAATCCGAACTGATCCCCTCCATATTTTGCAACTCCCAGCGGATCATTGTGTTTTTGTAAGGTAAGTACAGTCAAGAGAAAAACAAGTTTTAAAATCAAATGTTCATTTGTTGTGCATTTTATTTTGTGACAGGACAGGTATGCATATTGACATATTACAAATCACAGGTAACAAAAAATCAGACTTAAGTAATATTTAAGCTCTCAGTTTAATATTATAATTATTACAGTCAATTATTTTTTTTGTGACAAGACATTAATATTGACGTATTGATATATACAATATAAAAACATATTTTTGTTGGTTGTATGTATGGGAATGGAAAATAATATAAAATAAAACGGATCTACCAGAAGATTGGTTTTAGGGGATCAGATGGGAATAACTAGTTAAAAAGTGCGTTGTCATGCCATCACTCTAAAGCGCAGGTTGGCAAGATCTTTAGAATAAGTATAAATTGTATATATGTGGAGAAATAAATAAATAAAGAAACAAGTTTAGTACCTCAATATATCGATCATCGTATGTTGATTGCAACTCCGGGCCCACCATCTCGAGGATCTGTCGTCTCTCCTCACGGAAGTCTGAAATATAAGTTTTTATAAGCGTAAAGGTAATTAAAGACAAATATACGGTCAATTTTTTTTTAAAGACAATCGCAATAACAAGCTTAATGCATCCTTTAGTAGATTTTAAAGACCCACTCAGCATATTAGTGCTATTTTAGTCCATAAAAGCCAGCGCAAAAGAGCATAACAAGTAGTCGAACCGTAAGTTATCAAAAGAATTTTCAACACGTTTTGGTTTCGTTTTGAAACAATAACAATTAAAAACGGTTTATAGTTTCACAGTTACGAAAGCGACACCGACTTATACGAAATATTTTATTTTTTTTTGCTTCCAAACTCTGTACAATTTCGAAACAATGCAATTCGTTAAAAAAAGAGGGCAGTACTCGAATCAGGAATATTTAGCTCACCCTCGGTATTTACGTTGTTTTTTGTGAATTCCAATTTCTGACTGAGCTTTACTACCGTAGCGTGAACTAAGTGCCTTACGTGACTACGATTTCCCCCAAGAACGAATACTCCATCGTGGAGCTATTCTTCAACTTGATATTAAAGTTGGATTGTTGGACATTAATATATAAACTGTTATGAAAGTCTGTTAAGAAAGTATGTTAAGAAATTCTAAATTTCTGGCAGACATATTACTATCTGCCCTCTCCGTAGTCACGTAATTGGAAAATGGAAATATTTTTTGGCTGGAGGTCAATGTCTGTAAGTACAAGATGTACGTGTGCAAGTTTTATGCTGTAGTTTATAGATTCTGCTCGTCTACATGAGTATACTTAAAAGGAAAAGTGTTTGCACAAATGTTTTTGCGCAAATTTGTGGCAAAAGCATTCCTATATTGGTTCTAATTATATTCAGCGGTGTGTTGATAATGTTTCCATATTTCATCCAAACAATGTTGATCATCAGTTGTGGAAATATATTTAGATATGGTCAAGGAGTTGAGAGAACTTAAAAATAACTTGAAAAGTGTTACAAAAGTTCTTGAGTAAATACTAAGCAGGACGTATACTGTTAAGCAATGTGTGGAATTTTTTGAAATTAATAATATTGGGTTAAATATAATTTCGTGAGTTTAATAATACTGCATAGATGGCTTTTAAAACATTTATTCTACTCAGTTGTTATTGTTTCATATGTAAAGACTTAGGGCATCACCACACTTATCGACGGGGAATCGGCTTGAGGCGATCGTGTTGTACTACACTTGTCGCATTACGTTGATTCGCCATCGACGCCGTCGCGTGTCGATCATTGGCCGATGGCTGCGTAACGAACGCGATCGGAAATTCGTAGGAAGCGGATTCGTTGCCGACTTGTGTTGAGCCACATCGTACGAACCGAGCGAAACCACGTCTTTTTCGCTTTGATTAAGTATATGGACGTAAAGCTATTTCTAACAGGCTTAACGCGATTCCATGTCTATAAAGGTGCCTTCAGATTTGCTCGATTTTTGTAGATCGTTTTTGTCGCCTGTTAGCTATCGATAAATTCAATATTAAAATAGAACAAATCTGTCAATCGACAAAAATTATATTGTCGTTCGCCTGGTGCTTGCAGATTTACTAGTCTATCGACAAAAAATACAATATCGATCGTCTTTTGTTTACACATTTACACATTTTGTTTGATCAGACGCGTCGAATGTGGCCTTTAATGGCGTTAGTTTAGCTTTATTAGTTATATTACCTAAGGATTATTGTATAATGTATATTAATCCTTAAATTATGGCGTATCTTGTTTTACAGATTAAATCCTCCGGATTAAATTCTCCAATTTAATTTTAGCAACACATTTTATAATTCTATTTAAAGCAAATAAATGTATAAATTTTATAATTAATTTCGTGTATACCAAATTAAGTTAGGCGGAGACATATGTGTTCGAGCGCGTTGAAATGCCACTCACATATACGACTACGGTCACACCAAACTTGACAGACTAGAATATCAACGACGGACAAAAGTCACCTCATGACACTCGCTTTTCTTCTACATTTGTCATTATTTTGATAAAGTGCTCGGTCAAGGAACTCTTAGTAACACATTAAGAAAAATGTCTTCGTCTCTTATAGAATTAATGTACGTATGTGTTTATGGAGAATACTCGATAATTTTCTGTGTGGTCACTTCAGTTTCATAAGTCAAACAGGGCAAGGTCGCAGAGTGGGTGGCGCTGCTGTATCCCACATGATCCGATGATAGTTGCAAGGTAGCCAGCCATATTAGAATAAATATAATTTTTTTATAAAAACAGACCTCAAAATTCGTGGAATTACATCTATTTGCCAAGTTTTATTGCAATCGGTTACCGGTCAATCCCTTGTTTGCCACCCTTAGAGGTGGAATATTTTCTTCAAATTTAACTGAGACTAATACTGAGGTACCCTCTTTCTAACAAAAAAAATCGAAATCGTTTCACAAATGCCAGAGTATTCGCGTAATATACATACAGAAAATACAGTCGAAATGAGAATTATTACAGTAATATAGTATCTGAAAGAGGTATAATTTAACTAATTAAAATGCTAACTACAAACATTGCGTTTACTATATTTTACACCAAATTTTTATCTTCGTCCTAAAAAATTACATAGAAGTCACTAACTCTAAGACTACGTACGATATACATATATCGATAATTGCAAAAATACAGTAGGAGTAGACTCAACTATACTGCTCAGCTTTATGAATAGGTTTACAGAGAGGAACAGTAGAATTAAAACCTTACCATTATAGACCGACGCTATATAGAATTTGACAGCGCGAGGTCCGGGCCACTTGTCGCTGCCCTGAGTGTGTCCCTGCAGCGCTTGCAGCACCGCTGGCTCCGGAGCGCTCATTGCGCCCCCCGCTCACTTCACCCCGCACCTCTCACGCTACGCCACGGCATTCTGATGACAATATAAATTATTTATTAGCCTTTCTTAACGACATTTTAGTAACTAGTTTCTATGTTTACCAAAGCAGTGACGACATGCTTGTACGTAACGATCCCATATGTGACAAAACACATACATTTCTCTCTCTTCTCTTTCTCGTTGGCACCGTGACTAGTATCAATTTATTAGTGCTAATGGTAAGTACCAACGGTTGTACCAAAGGGGGAATGTCAGAGCGCTTTTTCTTGTGCGCCTAATGGTAAGCTTTAAACAAACACGCCTGTCCATAAAAGTTGCAGTACCACTCGGAGCTTTAAATCGCAAAGACCTGAGGGGCACTGCTACTGCGTCCACCACCCGGAGACATAAGTTGACAAGTCCCATGTGCTTGTAATTTCATCAGCACACTTACCTTTCAAAACCGCAACACAGTAATGCTGAAATTACTGCTTGGCGGCAGAAATAGGTAAGGTGGCAGTACTACCCTGGATAAACTCTTTGACGAGAAGCTCTACTACTACTAACTGCAGCTGTATGAGAAACTGGAGATGTATGAGAAAACCGAACTAAGAGCCATGTCAGATTTGTAGGAAATACAAAAAGTACAAAAAACTGGTTAATACATAGCATATATACATGGCATAGTATTATAGAACATATTATTACCCTTACCACTTTGGATCACTCTTATCGACATAAAAGTGGTGTTGAGGTGCTCTTGTTCCCATGGCCAAGGTGTATGTACCCATGGTAGGTAGTTAGTACCAAGGGTTAGATCTAATGGTTAGTATTGTTAATTTTTTTAACCAAAAAAAAATAAGAATAGCCATGATCGTTTTAATATATAATATGGACTAACAGTAATGAATGGTAAAAGAAATTCACCGCGAAGGAAAGGCTTGTCCTAAATGTAAGTACTATTTTACATTTAATAATTCAGATATTTTTTGTAACTTAATTTCGTAAGAGCCCGGTACCCTTATTCTTGAATATTCCCAATAAACAAACAATAACAACACCATCCATCAAGTGTGTCAACAACATTCGAGTTCTGCGTTATTCCTTTTATTATTTTGCCATGTGGAAATATTTGCCTGTGAAGACTTGCCAAAATGGTTTTGTGAACGCCAAAGTGAAAATAAGGAGGGTTTTTACCGAGAATTTGAGTACTATTTATGTGTAGTAGGATAATAAAATCTGTAACGATAAGCGTAGGGTTAAGTTATGTGTATTATATAGTTTTTTTGCCTTTTCGTTTCGTTAACACGACGCCGCACTTATTTAACGTGTGGTACTATTTTACTACATGTGAAAACTCACTGTAGTTTTAAATACGTATAGATAGGTGTTTATTTGAGATAATTTAACAGTGAATGTCGTTGTAAGAAAAGTTTGTAGCAGTAGAGCTCTTCGTGAAAGAGTCTATCCAATGAAGTACTGCCACCATATTTTTATTTCTTAAGAGCGATACCTCGGGTGCTACGGTACGTTGCGTCGTCGTAGCGCTACGATTTCAACGTACCGAGTGCCACACGAGCAATGCGGTATCCCAACATACCACCGCTTACTTAAGCACCGCAGCACCCCTTTCCGCATCGTCTCTTGGCCTCTCGTTCGATACGCACGCGTTCCGTTGCCGCGCGCTGATTCAATGCAACATATGGAATGTTGTTCTAATTCGTATGTACTTAGTACAACGCAGCCTCACCGCCATCGCTCAGGCGTCGCAACGCCGACGCAATGCAATCTTGTGGCATCGCTCTTACCAAATAACTGGGTAAAGATAATTACCCATTTATGATATTATTTTATGTTAGGACATATTTTATTTTATTTTATGTTATTGTATCTTACTGTTTATAATTTATTGTATACTATGTAAGGTTTATTAATATTTTTGTTAATGGGTACTAAAAACGTTTTATTTTGTAATGTCTGAATAAAGAGTTTAGTTATTGTTATTGCTTTCCAGTCATGAAGTGTTAGAGCATTAGCGCACTACGTTCGATCCGTATTGAAGCAGTTAAAGTACAGTTTACATGAGATATTGCGCACTAAATCCGAATTCCGTCTTAAGAAGTCGAGAATACCTTTAACTGGGATCATTATTTTTTCGGAGCCCAGTAAGTACTAAGTAGTAAGTAATACTATTTTGTACTAAGATTTGCATACAGCCAATCGGAGACCGAATTGGCAGCCTCACGTGCTTATACGTAATTATATAAAATGAAAACAAAAGTATTTTCCAAGATTTGTTTTTTTTTATAATATCAAGTGACGGGATGAACAAGTCGTGCGCCTGATGGGAAGCTACACGCCTGTCCATAACAGTTGCAGTGCCACTCAGAGCTTTAAATCTCACACACATGGCATTGAAACTGCGCCCGTCACCCTGAGATATAAGTTGACAAGTCCCATGTGCCTGTAATTTCACCAGCACCCTTACCCTTCAAAACCGGAACACAGCAATGCTGACATTACTGCTTGGCGGCAGAAATACGAGTAGGTAAGGTGGCACTACTTCCCTGGACAAACTCTTTCACAAGGAGCTCTACTGCTACTAAACTAAAAACTAAAACTTGTTGTGAACAGTTTTAAAAGTTCCTCAGAAAAATCAGGTCATCAAGAGGACATGTACCTACCCTTAACTCCTTATTTCTCCTGCGTCATTGTGCATGCAATAACAATGTCAAAAGTTGACGGCTAATGAAAGTACCTATAGTTAACAAACGACTTAAATGCTGTATGCAACACAGCAGCAGAATGGCCGGAAATTAAATGAAGAAATTGTCTCTAGGTGTATAAGCAATATCCGTATTTCCTCCGAGTTTTCTAAATTTGTACATTCTCGGCTTCGGAAAGGATACGAATCGGATACCGGACGCAAATGTCTTAAGAATGCTGGTAAAATTAAAGTCACATGGAACTTGTCAACTTTATGTTTCTGGGTGAAGAGTTGCGATTCAAAACTCTAAATAGCACTGCAACTTTTAAGAGTAGACGTGATGCCGATGACCATCGGGCGCACGTATTGGTCTTCCCGACTCTTGATAATCGTAAAAATAAAACAATTAACACTAACTTAAGTTACATTAAACAATACCAAAGTATATATAAAGCTAAAGGCTACAAAATGTACAAAGATGCTTGTCTAAGGCACCGCCCTGAATCCCTAAGTATGCCTTATAAATCTCTTTGCGTAGAAGGATCGCTGTAAAGGGGCATCATAATGGACACCCAGTTGCTTTTCATTAGGGGCTTTTGTGCGAGCATTTCTTCACTATTATTATCCGAAGCAATAGACTTGATGCCAGTTGTGGCGTTCTCATGAATAGAGAGATAATAAAAGTGGGTAGGTATAATTTTATTACGTATTTTCTTTTAAAATGTATTTATACATAAAAGTACAGGATTTTTATACCGCCGTATTTTAGGTAATGATAAGTGATGTCACCTACAAGTCTTCTTCATTTTCTTATCATATCGATCGCATACACTATACTATTGTAACCCAAAACTCAGCCATGTCCACCGAGTCAATAGTAGCCGCCATTAAATCAAGCGTGCAGGTGTTAGGGCATACAGGGCACGATGTGAGGTGAGCCGCAAACGTTTGAATCGTACCGCACAAACAATCCAAGTTAGAACGATCCTAAAATACCTACATCAGCAAATCGACAAATTCAAAAAAATTTTTCAGGGGAGTATGTAAAAAAATTTACCTCCGTAAATCCTAAAACATGCTCACCTGAAAAATTTTTCGAAATGGCGCTTACGCCTTTTCTACAAAACACCGATAAAATGTCCTTAGTTTAAACCAGCCATGGCAATTAGTGTCCAGGAGGAAGACAAAGGTGGTACTAATCCGCGCCTAAAGTTGCAAACTTGCGTGAGCTGGCTCAGTGCTCAGAGCATCGACAGATTTGATCGAAACCTACATGTCGAAGAAAGTCAAGTCACCAATTCGGCGTGGACTAGGTATGGCCTAAATATTCGTTAAAGAATACCCGTGCCCATTACGAAGAATAAGGCTATAAATACAACTTGTTACTAATACAGACTTTTAGGGGATTGTCCATTAAACAATTGCTAGTAATAGAGCTTCTTGTGAAAGAATTCATTCTGGGAAGTACTGCCACCTTACCAATTTCTGCCACCGAGCAGTAATGTGAGCATTACAGCGTTCCAGTTTTGAAGGGTAAGGGTACTGTCGAAATTACAAGCACATGTGACTTGTTAACTTATGTTTCAGGGTGTCGGGCGCAGTGGCAGTACCACTCAGATCTTTGTGATTTAAAGCTCTAAGTGGCACTGCAACTGTTACGGACAGGCGTGTCGCTTACCACTATGCGCATGACTTGTTCATCCCGTTACGTTATCATAAAAAAAATTGCTTCGGGAAAAACAATGAATAATAAATCCACTTTCAAACAATATTGGATCTAGTGTTTTATGGAAAAGTGTTTGTTTTTTAACTAAAGTATATAGTATTGACACTTATTAAATAAAGTTTAGTTAAAAGGTTTGATTAATATTTCACTAGAAGCACATTTTTGTTTGCGCCTGCCTAACACTATGGACATTTAGAGTACTGCTTTACGACCAATACTGGCCACTGAATCAACTTTCTGGCGTCGCTTCCACATTTCCTATTGTATTGTGTATAAAGGAGTTACATTTCCGGACTTACCACAAAACAACTTACTGCGTTGCGCGCAACGCATTCGTTGGAATGGATATGCCAGGAGTGTCATGAAGCCTCACCACGACGCTCTTCCTTCATAGCACCAGACGATAATGAGGAGGAGGACAATGAAATTGTTGCAGATAGGCAGACGGGACCTCAAATAGATGTCAAGAAATTAGTAGAAGACATCAACAGGGAGGTGAACAAAATTGTTATGCGTGAATTACAGGCCGTAAGCAATTCTGCCCAATACTGTAGCGATAAAGTGGATGAGTTTTCAGAGATCATAGATGGTCTCACTGAGAAATTAAAAGAAA